TATTGTATTGTATTGTATTGTATTGTATTGTATTGTATTGTATTGTATTGTATTGTATTGTATTATTTTATTAAATTTATTGGCCACCCATCTTACCATAGGGTAACCCTGGGCAGCTTACAAACACATACAATCTAAAACATAAAAGTTAAAAACAAACAATAAAACCAAAAACACATAGGGGTGGGCAGAGGGGAGGTGGGATCTATTATTACTCAATCAACCACCTCCATTGCACTGGCCCCCCACTGGAGTCCCAAGCCAACCAACACAGCTACATCTTTAGGCCTTATATTCTGTTAGATACAGATAATCAGAGTTGGAAGGGACCTTGTAGGTCATCTAGTCCAACCCCCCACCCAAGTGGGAGACCCAACACCATTTCTGACCAATGGCAGTCCAATCTCTTCTTGAAAGTCTCAAGTGATGGCGCTCCCACAACTTCCGAGGGCAAGCTGTTCTCACTGTCAGAAAGTTTCTCCTTGTTTCCAGGTTAAATCTCTCCTTGTTCAGTTCCCATCCATTATTCCTTATCTGGCCTACAGGAGCTTTAGAAAATAGCTTGACCCCTTCCTCCCTGTGGCAGCCCCTGTTATATAGCTTATGTTATATAGCTCAGAATGCCTCAGCAAAGAGCAAAGGGAATGGGTGGTTAAAGTTTCTGTCCAAGGAACACAAGCCAAGCCTACTAGTGCATTTGGAAATAGATTAGGTATTTGCTTATGGAGAGAGGGTGGGGTAACAGCAAGAAAAAAATATCTACAGTTTTAAATGTTAGCTACCAAAGGAGACTTAAATCATCTGGCTGAACAAGCCATATGTAGGAATAACAACAAGGTATGGATGGTGTGGCTTATAGAGCTCTGGTTCTTCTCCTTTGCATTACTGACTGCCCTGCACAAGTTAGCTTAGCTTCTCTTCACGATTAACAGATATTTAGTGCATTTTCATGATCTAGCAAGTTCAGTTCTGAGACTGAAACATTTGCAGGTCATTTTTATTAAGAGGGTTCACATAAGCTTCAAAGTGGCATTTCATTGTTGTCTGCTATGTCTACCAATACACTTTAATTCAAACTAAAAGGGCTCACCTCAAAGCAAGACAAAACACAAGCATAAATATAATATGCTGTTATTTGTAGTATCTAAAACAAAAGCAATTCAAAACAATTATCTAAATAAAAAACCTTGGTGTCAAAACAAAACAATTGTTTCCCACAATATATTTCTGGTAAGAATAGAGCGATCCAACAGATGGTAAAGAAGATGCAGCTCTACTATTTAAAGAGCTACAGAAGGAGGCAATAGCCAGTCTGAAGTTCCAGGCAGAAACATCATCTGGATTATATAGCAAAAGCTCTCTGGCAGGGGTGGGATTCAAATTTTTTAATAACCGGTACTGTGGGCGTGGCTTAGTTGGTGGGCGTGGCTTGGTGGTCATGTTATTGGCTGGGCATGGCCAACTCAATATCACTCACATCGAGGCACGCATCTCCTCGCCTGGCCTCTCATGACCGTGGGGATGCTGCAACAGTCGTAAGTGTGAAAAACAGTCATAAGTCACTTTTTTCAGTGTCATTGTAACTTTGAATGGTCACTCCACACAAGCAAAGTACCAGCAAAGAAGGGGGAAAAAAACTCCAGAGAAGTTCCCGAGACAGTCTAGTCCTGCCAAGAATGTAATAAGAGTTAATGGAGAGGCAGTTTCTGTAAGCAACACCAGAATGTTTCCCTCCTGCCTTCCTTACAGGATTAGGCCAGTAATTTCTTCTAACAACCGGTTCTCCGAACTGCTTAGAATGTTAACAACCGGTTCTAGCGAATAGGTGTGAACCAGTAGAATCCCACCCCTGGCAATAGCACATAGAGTTATATACCACTTCACAGTGCTTTACAGCCCCTCTCTAAGCTGTTTTACAGAGACAGCCTATTGCCCCCAACAATCTGAGTCCTCATTTTATCCACCTCGGAAGGATGGAAGGCTGAGTCAACCTTGAAAATAAACTTTGTTAAAGAGGTAGTTAAAAAAAAGTTTTGCAAGAAATCTATAATGTATACAGTTGTTAAAAAAGCGTAAAACATTCCAAGCCACTGTTTTAATCATTAATTTAAACCATAATTAACTGGGTTCAGGACTTTTAGCAAGCAGTGAGAACACCTGACCCACATATGGCAGGCTCCCTACTAAACTATGGACTAGTATCTAAATGATTGCATGAACAGTATTTTACACTGTATTCAATTATGGTATCATTTGAAGAACTCAATACTGGGTCTCCCTACATGCTTCAGTACACTTGACTGCTGACAAACAAAAGAAATATTGTAAAAGGTTTACCTTGTTTTCATTGGTAATTTGCCCTAGGTCACTCAGAGTCTTTAAAAAGACTTTGAAATAAAGACACCAGATTAGGATTTAACACAACATGCAAACTAATGTTGTATAGAAATCTTAACGCATCCGTCTAGCAGATGCCTGGGTTTTTGCAACCCAGATCTAGGCACCCTAGTAAATCCAGCCATTCAATTCATAGGCATGCCAAGTATTAAATGCATAGGAGAGTTAATAAGGTTGAAGGGAGGCAGATCATGCTCAATTCATTGAATTCAGAGAAATTCAGAATGGGACCCACACTATCACCTACATCAGGGGTGTCAAACTCAATTTTATTGAAGGCCGCATCAGAATTGTATTTTACCTCAGAGGGCCAGAATGGGCGTGCCCATAGTGAGTGTGGTCAGCTCGACATCACTCGTGTTGGGGTGCCTGTGGTGGCCCGAACCCTCTGCCAGAGAAAACAGGCTCCTGAGCTCTGTTTTCGGCTGCAACGGCCTCCTGTAAGTAACCCTCTGCCAATGAAAACAGAGCTCAAGAGGGCTGTGTGCAGCCCACCCGAGTTCTGTTTTTGCTGGCAGAGGCACCGCAGGCCAGTCCTTCGCCGTTTCCAGGGTGGCCCTGCGGGCCAGATCTAATCACCCCACGGGCCGGATCTGGCCCCCGGGCCTTGAGTTTGACACCCCTGACCTACATCAAGGTTCTTCAAACTTGGCAAGTTTGAGACTTGTAGACTTCAACTCCCAGAATTCCTGAGCTAACATGACTGGAGGAGGAATTCTGGGAGTTGAAGTCCACAAGTCTTAAAGCTGTCAAATTCGAAGTCCTCTTACCCCCCCCCCCCCACCCCCTTTTCCATTTTTCAAAATAACATGCAAACGCTATAGCTGGCACGTCCACTTCTAGAAAACCACCCTGCCCACGTGGCAATAATATCCCATTACTTCCTGTACCTGCTGAGTCGGATCTCCAGCTGGCTACTGAGATACTCCACTGGAGTTACTATATGCTCAAAGACAACAATGCTGTTTGCTTGGTTTATGGTCCAGCAAAGCTCAGACAGGGTCAGATGCAACTTGTCTAGACTGGGAAAAGAAAAGAAAAAAGATACAGAAAGGATCAGAGTTTTTATAATATAGAAGGCATTTCCCAAAACATTTTTTTTAAGAAGCAGGGGAGGGCAGAGAAAAAAGAGTAAAGATCTGGGGAAAGCTTGGGTTAACCCAACTCCAGAAGATACCACTTTGAGTCCAATACACTTTGGAAATATTAGTAATATATTTCGAGAAAGCTTATTTCTTCTTCCACTAAGCCTGCTCCTAAATGCTTTCACAAGATTATTTAGGGTAGCTGGCAGATATAAACAGAATAGCTGCGCAAAGTTTCAGGTTCAAAGAGAGAAAAAAGTGCTTCAGAACTCCTGCAGGCACACCTGTAGCACATCAACAATTCATAAACTGCAAATGTGTCTTGCATTGGGATTGGAGTACCTATAGCTGCAGAGGACAGCTATGTGATCCACAAAAAGGTGCCGCTGTTTTAAGAAGTTGTCAAAAAAGTGCCACACAAGCAATTGTTATATATTTTTTTTCCTCTGTTAATTTTGTTATTTTATTTTTTAGGAAGAAAAGTTTCCTTTCCCCTGTATTGATTGATTACATACCATCAAGTCAGTGGTAACTCCTAGCAGTCACAGATTTGATTTATAATGGTCTTATTTCTAACCTAGTCCTTCAGATCCTGCAACATACACCCATAGCCAATGTAACTGAGTTTATCCCATTTGCCGCTGATCATCCTCTATAGTCCATCCCTTCTACTTTTTCTAGCTATATGCCCTTCTGCAGAGAGCTAGGTCTTTCATGATGTATCTGAAGTAGGATCATTCAAACTCTGAGTTGATTTCTTCAATGATCCATTCTTTGGTTTTCTTGGCTGTCCATGCTACTCTCAGGAGTTTTCTCCAACACCAATGTTTCAAAGTACCTGGTATTCTTCCCATTCTGCTTCTTCAAAGTCCAGCTTTCACATCTATAGAGTGTCACAGAGAGTTATGTGGCTTGGACTGTTCTGATCTTTCTAGGTATGTAGACTTCTGAATATCTTTTCCAAGATCTTCATGGCTCCCCTACCAAATTCTACTCTGTATTTCTTGGCTGCTTGTTCCCTTAGGATGGTTGATCCTAAAAGGCTGAAGCTATCTACCACTGTGATGTCTTCATTGTCAGTTCTGTGGCTGGTATCCTACCATTGTCATTAGTTTGGTCTTGTTTATCTTTACTGGCCCATTTTTTCACTGTTCGTCTAGATTTTTATTACTTTTCTATTATTTTTATTACTTGAACTTGCAGTTCCTTTGTATTTTCAGGTTTCAGGGTAGTGTCATCAGCAAAGTGCAAGTTAATGACCTTCCTCCAATTTTAAAACACATTAATCTTTTTCCAGTCCAGTTTCCTTTAATAAATATTCAGGATGAATAAATAAGGGAAGAATATACAGCCTTGCCTCACAGCTTTACCAATATAGAGACAATCTGCTCTGACATGTTTTGTCTGTACTATGGCTTCCTGATCTTTATATAGGTTTCACATGAGAAGTGTGGATTCCCATTCTTCTGAGTACATTACACAGCTTGACATGATCAACACAATCAAAAGCTTTTGAAAGTCAATGAAGCAGATACTGATTTTTTAAATACTGTATATATTCTTTGGCTTACTTAATTATCTGGCGTGTATTGGCAATAACATTCTTATTGCTCAGCCTTTTCTAAAGCCAGCTTGAACATCTGGCATGTAGAGCTCTAATCTGCTCCGAAGGGATCCTAAGCATTATTTTTGCTAGCATGCAAAATTAAATACAAGGTGCAATAGTCTGCACACTCTGTAAAGTCTCTTTTTCCTTTTTGGGGGGGGGGGGGGGGGGGGGGGGGTACCAATATTGATTGATCTCTTCCAACCTGATGGGCATTGTGTCATTGTTCAGATTTGCTGACATAACTTGGTTACAACCTAGACCCGTGATGGCGAACCTATGGCACGTATGCCACAGATGGCACGCAGAGCCATTTGTGTGGGTATGCGAGCCCCAGGCAAACTTACCTCACTGTGTATGCGCGTGACTCACAGCTGATTTTCGGGCCTTTTTCGGCCTGTCAGAGGCTTGAGGGATGCCTCTGCAGGCTTTGCAGGCCAAAAAATAGGCCCGTTTTGTCACTTCCTGTATTACCAGAAACACTGGAAGTGATGAAATGGGCCCATTTTTTGGCTTGCAAAGCCTGCAGAGGCATCCCTCAAGCCTCTGGCAGGCTGAAAAAGGCCTCAAATGGGCTGAAAATCAGCTGGGAGGTGCAGTGCAGGTAAGGGGGCAGTGGGAATTGTGTGTGCGTGCGCAGGGGACTGGAGAGGCTGCGCGCATTGCCTTCTGGATTAGCCACCATTGACCTAGACCAGGGGTGGGCAAACTTTTTGGCTCGGGGGCCGCATTGACTTTTAAAATTTGACAGACGGGCCGGGTCAGCACAAGATTTTTTGGGAATCGCCCCCCCCACCCTTCCCCCCCCTCTTCTCCTCCTTCCCCTCCACTCGGAGGCCCCCTGAGTCAGGAGTTGCTACTGCCGGCACGGCTCCAGTCCCGCGTTGCCTCGGGAAAGGAAAGGCAAAAAGGAAGAGCCGCGGCGGTGCTTTGCAACGGGAGCAGCGGCACCGGAGGCTCAGGCTCAGCGGCTCCTAGTTTTGCCTTTTCCTTCCCAAGGCAACGCGGGACTGGAGCCGCACGAAGCTCCGCCGGCGGTAGCAACTCCTGACAGCCCCAGCCGGACACCTGAGCGGAGCCCGGGCGAAACTGCCTGTTGTTGCTGCCGGAGCACCGCGGGGTCGCCTCGTCCAAGCAGCCTGCCCACCCGCCGGGCTTCCCCTCTGCCGCGCGGCTCGGGGCCAGGCACGAGCGCGCGCGAGTTAAAAGGAAGCCAAAAGTTGCTGGGAAGTTGCTCGGGTGCTGGGAGTAGGCTTTTAAAGTGCCGCCCGAGCAAAGTTTAAGCAGCCCGCCCGCCCGCCCGCCGGGCGGAATCCTTCCTGCTCCTCGGCGGGAAGACGCTCCAGCCTGCAAACTTTGCCTTTGCAAAGTTTAAGCCTGGAAGCCCCGGAAATCCGAGCAACTTCCCAGCAACTTTCGGCTTCGTTTTAACTCGCAGGCGCTCGTGCCTCGCCCCAAGCCGCACAGCAGCCCGCTCCAAGCAGCCCGCCCCGCCCGCCGGGCGGAACCCTTCCCGCTCCTCAGCGGGAAGACGCTCCAGCCTGCAAACTTTGCCTTTGCAAAGCCCTGGAAGCCCCGGAAAACCGAGCAACTTCCCAGCAACTTTCGGCTTCGTTTTAACTCGCAGGCGCTCGCGCCTCGCCCCGAGCCGCACGGCGGAGGGGAAGCCCAGAGCGCCGCCGGGTCGCCTCCTCCAAGCAGCCCGCCTGCCCGCCCGCCTGGCTTCCCCTCCGCCGCACGGCTTGGGGCCAGGTGCGAGCGCCCGCAAGTTAAAACGAAGCGGAAAGTTGCTGGGAAGTTGCTCGGGTGCTGGGAGCAGGCTTTTAAAGTGCCGCCCGAGCAGGACCGCCGAGCCAGGGAACAGGGCACCAAGGCAGGGCAAGGGTCCACCAGCAGCGGCCTAGCTTTAGGTGGCTCCAAGCAGCCCACCCCGCCCGCCGGGTGGAACCCTTCCCGCTCCTCGGCGGGAAGACGCTCCAGACTGCAAGCTTTGCCTTTGCAAAGTTTAAGCCTGGAAGCCCCGGAAAAAAAAGGGGGATCAGCGGGGACTCACCTTCGGAGAGGTCACACTCAAAGGTGATTTCGAACTCCCAGCCGAGGCCTTTGCAAATTTCTTTTCTTTCCTACCCCTAGATCGCTCCGCACTGTTTTGCAGCTTTGGGGGCCACGCGGCACAGGGCAATAGGCCACGCCCAGCGATTTTTTTTCAGGGGCGGGCCGGATTGGACAGACCAATGGCAGCGATTTTTTTTCAGGGGTGGGCCGCATTGGACAGACCAACGGGCCGGATGTGGCCCGCGGGCCGTAGTTTGCCCACCCCTGACCTAGACTAACACTTCTTCTGTTGCCCGCCTCACTTCTTTAGATATTCCGTTAATTCCTTTAGCCTTCTGACTTGATAAATAACTGGAATGCTGATCTACCACCATCTCATAGTATTAGGAGTTCTTGTAAATAGGAAACATCTTTTATGTATCTTGGATGTTGATATCGCTACTGTACACTCCTTTCCATTTGTGTTGCTTTTTGTATTTCTTGTGCTCTTTTGTACCAATGAAGCTGGAGTCCTCAGAGCCTGATTCAAGACTATTTACAGCCCCAATTTTAGTTCCATTCCATTAGGAAAGCCATATCCAACTTCTCTTATACATTATAAAATATCTCGTATCCCACCTTAAAAGCACAAAAATATATAGCCCCCTCCTTTCCCATGAAGAAGTGTATCTCCTTCATCATATCTATTTTGGTTCTGATTATACATACTTACAAACAAAATACAGAACAAACTTAGTTCTGAATTAGCATATGCAATCTTCTTGAAAACACTAGATCATCTTTAGAAATTGCATCATGATGAAAAATCCTTTCAGGATATATTAGGATTATATTCAGGATTATACAAATTACAGTATATTTATTATAATGTTAATTCAGGGTTATATATTAGGATATATTCAGGATTAAATTAACATCTCAGGGTATCTATATGCTCTCTTATAACAGAACCATCAGGTTCAATGTTTTCTAAAAGGTAATTAGTTTAAGAAATATAAACGATTTGAATGTTATAATCTTACTTTGTAACCAGACTGCGGTTCTTCCGGATGCTCTCTGCTCCAGGTTTATCCCTTTCTGGCTCTAACTTTTTGGAAGTTTTTTTTTGAGCCCTCTTGGTTCGGGCCTTGCTGATGGTGGGTGCACAGTGCTTGGGTAAGAGCTGGGAGATAAGAGAAAGGTAAAGGCAGAGGTGATATTCAGCAGGTTCTGACCAGTTCTGGAGAACCGGTAGCGGAAATTTCGAGTAGTTCAGAGAACCGGCAAATACCACCTCTGACTGGAGATTTTACAGTATCCTTCCACTGCCATGCCCACCAAGCCACACCCACAGAACCAGGAGTAAAAAAATTTGAATCCCACCACTGGGTAAAGAGTTAGGGCATATGGCATGATTGGTTGTGGTGGACTGGGAAATCACCTTCAAGAAGAAGCTTTTATCCTATCAGCATGGAAAACCCATTAATAAAATCAGGGAAACCATAGCTATCAGTCAGCTATGTGAAGCTTCAGTAATCCCCCAAAAGTATCAAACATTTGCTTTGTCCCATCAACCATCTCCCCAAAATGCTTTGATGTAACCAGCAACATGGTGAATTGATCTTCAGGTAAATCCAGGCTGCCATCTAAGGCTTAGTTAGGCCAGTACTTTTTAGTTTAGTACTTAGTCAGTTAGTACTTTTGTCAATCAAATGTGTGAGGGGTTCTTGTTGCTCCCTAAGCTTAGTTGTTTTCTTGCAGACATTTTATTACCCAAACTAGGTAATATTACTGACGATTACTAGTACTGATGATGTTACCTAGTTTGTCTGCAAGTAAAACAACCAAGCTCAGAGAGCATTAAGGACCCCTCATTTTAACCCTGAGCTACAAATATTCTCCTGTATTGGAATCAAATGTGTATCCAACCCATTCCTCAAGCTGCCTTCTTTTTGTTTTATACTAAGAATCTAGCCCATGCCCTTCATAGCCCCATTCATATACCTATCCACCCCACCCATAATTTCTATTCCTCAGTTCGACCAGAAAGTGACCAGAGAAGTGCACATGGGGTCTAGTGTGTTGCAAAAAAGACATGCTTTAATCTTACTTTCAAAGGACCAGAATTTAGATAATCTACAATATTATTCCAATATTCCATCTTTCTCAGATCAATCTTGTTTCATCTTGCAGATTAGTATGCCTTCTCAGAGTTCTTGTACATGGTTTACCTCTGGGGTCTGATCCTCAGCATCCCGTATGGAGTTGGGTTACTCACTTGCTCGCTCAGATTACATTGTTCAGCACAAGCATCAAGGATGCAGTTCGAAGTCTGCTTTGCAATCTCTTCCAGGAAGTTGTTGCATAGGGCCAAGGCACAGGTGCGCAGATGCGGATACTGGAATAGGGATCAAAAATCACCTTAGTTCACTACATGGCTTGTGTATTACGATTGTTGATCCTTGGGTAAGTGAATGTAGCATTTGTTCATTAAAAACAGGTTTCATTATCCTCAATAGGGCTTGATTCCTAGTGAATATGATAAGGTTCATATCTTAAATTATGTGCTGATCTTCAAAAGGTAAAAATTATGTATTTATCTAGTCCCTTATATCTTGCCTACTAATAAGAGTTTAATGCTTACTGTAATAAAATACAGCAACAGCAACAACAATAATAATAACAATCAGTTAAAACCACGGTTAACCACCACTGCTATCTTACTTCTCCATACTACATACTCTTCAAAAGACTGCCATTTGCATAGCTTCTTAAATCACACATATAGTTCAGATAAAATATCTGGAACTTTCTGGTTTGTGTATGCATTGTAGACATGATCAAACACTTTTTTTTCTAGTTGTGGAATTGAAAATACAATATGTACAGAACATTACTTTTTAAAACCAGGTAGGCCAATAGAAATTATAAGAAAGGGCAGAAAGAGCAAGCTTATGTAGGCTGGTAAGAACCTCTCAACCCAGCTGTTTGTCTTTCTTTTTCTCATGAGTCAAAAATGTACACACCTCCTCGGGGCACATTGGATGGATTGCATTGATGAAATCAGCACACAGAAGTGGGAAGACAATGACATAACGCAACATGGATGGTTCCTCTAGGGAGGCAGCAAATAACTTCTCCAAATGACGCATGTGGAAACTGTCAAAGAGATAGAAACTTAAGAAACTCAAACAAGTGGAAGCAAGCAACCTTAAGGCACATGTTTCCTTTCCATTCATTCTTCTAATGAATGGTATGATGAATACCGTATACAATTACTAAAAAGGATAATGCTCCCAATGATATGATATTATATTTAATGTTTTTTTTTTAAAGAGTAATTTGAATAAAATCCCATCAAGGCAATTAGCAACAGATGGTACTTTCCTGACTTTTTATTTAAGAAATGTTCACCCACTTCTCCCTCCCGCAAAGCATTCATGTAGTTTGGCATAAAAACAAAAACATATTAACAAGTTATGAATAACACCTAAAGCAAAACACACAACCCTATCCCTACTTAACTGTTAAAGAATTGAACAGTGTCAAAGGCTTAAAAATGAATCAGGAATGGAGATCGCTCCTGAAGAAAAGAAGCTGTATAGATGGGTTGCTGCTACAAACAAAATCCTCTCATTGGTAGCTTTGCTGCTAATGATTCCTCTGGTTACAAACCTAAGCCAGACTCAGGGGTTGTCCAGCAAGAATCTAAACCCTTGTTCTTTAAGCTTTCCAAGCAATTATCTACATCCAATCAGTTTTAAGGACCTTTTAGTAAGATAATCAGTTTGGTGCAATGCATCAGGATAGAAACCAGGAGGCTTTGAGTTCTAATCTCACCTTAGGCACAAAGCCAGCTGGATGACTTTGGGCCAATCCCTCTCGCTCAGTTGTAGAAGAAGAAAAGGACAAACCAGTTCCGAAACATTGCCAAGAAAACTGCATATATATTTTATATATATATATATATAAATATATACGACCACGAACTCGAAGCCAAACAGCAAGATCACAGCTCACCAGCTCAAATCCCCCAGTAACTAAGACCAACCTGAGCACAACCAAGCCCCCACCTGAACAGAACACACCTCCAGCCAATCAGAACATGCCCAACCCCCCAACCAATCAGAACACAGCCAAACCCCCAACCAATGAGAACACCCCCCCACCCAATCAGAACACAGCCAAGCCCCCAACCAATCAAGTCACACCCCCACTAGCAGTTAAAAGGAAGAAGCAGCTGCAAACTCACATCACTCTGAGAAGCACAGAGCTGAAGACAGAAGCCTGAAGATGATGAATGAGACTTCATCGAAACGTTGCCTAGATACTTCCAATTCGGGAGAAAACCCGAATAACCAAAGATCCATATATATATATATATATATATATATATATATATATATATATATATAAAATCTGTTGTACGGGTCAGCATTGTCGCCTGCTATCCTACATACATACCCAAAGAAGGAGAGATCGGATGTCTCCACTATGAGCTCTTCCAGAGAGTCTAGCATCTTAGTATGAAAGACAATGAGGTTCATCACCTTGGCAAGATCATGATTCTCCCGCAGTTGTAATGGAGCCTTAGTGACACTGGTGTATGCCTGATGGAAGAAAGAACTCATTATTGAGGACTATCTTTAGTGCTTAATATTATTATTATTATTAATAATAATATTAACATTATTAAGACTTAAATTATCAGAATAGGACATAACTGATATAAATGGTAGAATGGTAGGGCAACTTACACGCATATGCCCATTATCTGATCATCTTGATTATGTAATGTAGCTTTATAGAGCAATGTAATATTTTGAGGGGGAAAAAACAGATTTGTATACCATTTCATATGCTTTACTGCATATGGTTTACAACATATTTTTACTTGAAGTCAAAAGAGTCATCAAACTATATGTATCAACAACAACTCCCAAAACAAAAACAAAAAAACAGATTACCCATAACAATAAGGAAACTTCAATCCAAAAAGAGATCACTCTGGAGGAAAAACAAATCTGGTCACGTTGCCAACTTCAAAAGCCGATACAAAAATTTATACCACCAGATAAAGACTAAATGCACCAATTATCATATTAAACAAGAGGAAAACCTTCTATGCACCAATTCCACCCATGCTTTCTACAATTTTGTAAACAACAAACTAAAGGTACATCCCACCCCTGATAGGACCTAATGGTAAAGACCGCAACGACGACACTATTCAAGCCAACCTCTTAAACACATTCTTTGGCTCAGTATTTGTAAACAGCAATGGATCATGCCTAGTATTTCCTAGCCGAACCACAAAAAACTACAATGATCTAATACATATCGATTTTACAGAAGACAATGTTGAAAAAGCACTGCGTAATCTAAAACCATCTCTATCTATTGGACCGGATGGAATATGTGCCTACTTCTTAAAAAAGCTAGCTATAGCCGAACCTCTAAGCATAATCTTTGAAAAATCTTTCAGGACCAGCTCCTTGCCTAACCTATGGTAACAAGCCATGGTCATCCCCATCTTCAAAAAGGGAGACCACAGCTTAGTTGAAAATTACAGACCAATCTCCTTATGCTGTGTCATTTGTAAAGTCATGGAATCAATTATTAACCAATCCATTATCCTCCACTTAGAGACAAACAACCTACTCTCCAATAAGCAATTTGGTTTCAGAAAAAAAACTATCATGTAATCTGCAACTCTTACACTGCAAAAACATATGGACTACACAACTCGATCAGAGCAAAACAATAGACACAATCTACATAGACTTCTGTAAAGCCTTTGATTCAGTGGTACATGACAAACTACTCCTAAAACTAAAATCTTATGGTATCTCTGGAAAACTGCATAACTGGATAGAAGCATTCCTGTCAGACAACAAATGGTCAAAATTGGGAGCGTCCTATCAAATTCTGTACCTGTCAATAGTGGTGTCCCCAAGGCAGTGTTCTAGGACCAACTCTCTTCATACTCTACATAAATGATCTCTCTGATCATATTAAGAGCAACTGTGTTCTCTTCGCTGATGATGTAAAGCTGTTCAATACCACAGACAATACTGCTACCCTTCAAAAAGATCTTGACAATGTATCAGAATGGTCAAACAAATGGCAACTTCAAATCTCAACAAATAAATGTTCTGTCTTACATATTGGCAAAAAAAAATCAGAAAATAAAATACAAGCTGAATAGTCAAGACCTTGTTGATGATCCAAACTCTGTCAAGGATCTTGGAGTATTCATCTCAAATGATCTAAGTGCTAGAGCCCACTAACTACATAGTCAAAAAGGCATTAAGAGTCGTTAACCTAATCCTATGTAGCTTTTTCTCCGGTAATATCACCTACTAATAGGGCATACAAAACATTTGCTAGACCAATACTTGAATACAGCTCATCAGTCTGGAACCTGCATTACATATCTGATATTAATACAGTTGAGAAAGTCCAGAAATATTTCACAAGAAGAGTTCTCCACTCCTCTACTCGTTGCAGAATACCTTATGCCACCAGACTTGAAATTCTAGACCTAGAAAACCTAGAACTATGCTGCCTTCAGTCTGATCTAAGTATAGTATATACAATTATATATTGCAATGTCCTACCTGTCAATGAATATTTCAGCTTCAACCATAACAATACAAGAGCGCACAATAGATACAAACTCAAAGTAAACTGCACCAAACTTGATTGCAGGAAATATGACTTCAGCAACAGAGTGGGCAATGTCTGGAATTCTCTACCTGACTCTGTGGTTTCTTCCCCAATCCCCAAAAACTTTAACCTTAGACTGTCTACTATTGACCTCACCCCTTTCCTAAGAGGTCTGTAGGGGGCACGCATAAGCGCACTAACGTGCCTAATTTCCCTGTCCTATTGTTTCTTTTTATTTTTCTTATATGTATCCATTTCATGTACTCATAACTTTGTATAAACTTATACCTGTAATCTTATAATCGCTTGACAAAATAAACAAACAAACAAATAAATAAATAAATAAACAAACAGAGCTGGAAAGCAGGTTAGTGGGGTGCAGAGGTGGTATTCAGCAGGTTCTGACCAGTTCTGGAGCACCGGTAGTGGAAATTTTGAGTAGTTCAGAGTTCCAGTAAATACCACCCCTGTCTGGAGATTTTACAGTATCCTTCCCCTGCCACGCCCACCAAGCTACGCCCACAGAACCAGTAGTAAAAAATTTTGAATCCCACCACTGGTGGGGTGGAGAGGGAATGGGGATTTTACAGTATCCTTCCCCTGTCATGTCCACCAAGCCATGCCACGCCCACCAAACCACGCCCACAGAACTGGTAGTAAAAGTTTTTGAATCCCAACACTGTTCCAATTCCAGGCTTGCTGGCATAGCCAGATCTTGAGTGACAGGTCAGGAGCGCACAGTGAAGTCTGGCAGTAGTTTTGTAGGTTGGAAAGCAATGTTCATGCATACGAAGTAAGGACCAAAACAGTTTATCAAACCAAGCAAAGCAAATCATCATCATCTGCCATGCAACACCCCAGACTTAAAAACTGTTGATAAGATGGTCCAAAAATTTCTGGGTGTGGACACTGCAATACCAGGAGATAGCAGGAAAGAAGAGAAAAAAAACTGGAGAAAATCACAAAACACGAAGACCTGCAAACAGAAGTAAACTGATTATGGGCAAAAGAAAGCAACAATACTAGGCACCTTGAATGTATTCTGAAAACATGTGGAACCCCACCTGAACGCCCTTGTCATTGACCATATCACCATCAGTCAATAGCAAAAGGCAGCAATACTTGGAAGAGCTTACATTCTGTGACAATACCTTTAACATCATCAAACAACAACATCTGCCTATCCCCAGTCCTCGGGAAGGCCTTGATAGATGGATAAAAATGCTGATTAAACACTTGGGCTGATTATTGGACTGAGGCCAAATTATAATATAATAATAATAGCTTTCAATTGCAAAATATGATATAAACAAGAAATGTTAAAAAGAGCCGCGATGGTGCACTAGTTAGAATGCAGTATTGCAGGCTAATTCTGCCAACTGCCAGAAGTTTGATTCTCAGTAAAATGAGGACCCAGATTGTTGTGAGCAATATGCTGACTCTGTAAACAGCTTAGAGAGGGCTGTAAAGCACTATGAAGCGGTATATCAGTCTAAGTGCTAGTGCTATTCACAAGCAAGGGTTGTGAAAGTGAAAAATAGCACCCGTGAAAAACAAAGCAGCCATGAGGGATATGAACACAGAATGAAATTTCATGTTCCTTCCATCCAAAGAGTACCTGGTCATCAAAGTGAATAGACAGTGAACATTCTTCCCAAAACTGTGGGGAGCCTCTTTTCCTGGGAATTAGATTTATGTTGGACCTAATTACTTAGAAGTTTTCCGAAGCTTATCTAGTTTACCATTCCAATTACTCATATTTTTAATTAAGCCCATTCCTTGCTTTGTTTTTCTTTGTTTTTCTTGTTTATCAGCTACTAAAAGTTTATATTAAACAGTATTAGCTCATATATCAAATCCTCC